TGGGTGGTTGCTATAACAATTACTGAAAATAATGCTGTGAACAAAGCAACCAAGGTTGTTGCTAGCTTCCAAGGAGTCAGATTTCACAAGGACCAATCATTCGTCGAAAAGGTTATTCGTAGCAATGGTAGCAAGAGAACGATGGCACACGACACCGTAAATTTTACAATACTTAAAGGATATTGGTCGTCTTTGATATTATTCGTACTGCTACATGTAAGCACACAAACGTAGCGGTGATATCCGTTTTCTTCAGAAGCTTGCGTAGTATCCCATTAGAGTTTCTTAGTTAAACCGCAATCTGAGGAAAGCGTATTTTTAATTGCTCCGTATTTCATCTTTGGACACAGCAGCCTGGCCACGAGGCAGTAGCGTACAAGGACCTGCGTTTGAAGTACTCCCTCCAGCGACTTCATCTTGAACGCCTTACGCAAAAAGTACCAAGGAGTTGTCACGTCCAGTAACAACGGTGATTATTTTTGGGTTTTATCATTCGTAAAATCAAAGAATTCTCCGATTTGTCTCTGCAGGCACTTATATGCTTCGTTAGGTACGAAGTTCGTCTTATATGTAGCTTTTAAATGTAGAGTCAGGGCGCCTTGATATCCGGGAAACGTCCGCAATGGCGACATCATTTGCACATTTCTTAAATAAGGACAGTATGTTCAGTCAAACACGAGCTGCGGGGATCTATCGGCCAGTCTCTCTCATCACCGTGCAATTTGACATAAGATGTATCTGATCAGCCAATTTTGGCATTCAGCCACCTTTGAACCGCGGGCTAGACGTTATTCCACCGTTGTCCAAGAAGGACGGTGGCGAAAACCTCCCAAGGAAAATGCCTAAATAGAGCGTCGCTTGCGTCGTTGGAGATTAAACATAAGTTTGCTATTTTAAGTCACGTAAACCTGTGCACACTATCCTTGCAGAAACGCCATTAAACTTCTGCTCAGTAACATTCTATCCTCATTCCACGCCATGAAAGAGGTTAGCTTCAAAAAGTAAACCACTTTGCACGTTAAACATCACAAATGTTAGCATGCGCTCATTGCACATGTTACTCGGACCGACCCGAAACTCATGGCGTCCATGCACCAAAACAGTATATAACATTAAACAAAACAATTCATTGATTTTAAGGCACGCGCTTTTAGGTTCAGTTACAAACGTAGCGAAAGATGTATGATTGACATTAACAGTATGCCCTTCATCTTACCTTCTCCCTGAGTATTATAAACATCCAAGACTGCAACCATACCAAGCTGGTAGACATAATGTCTGCTTATTTGTTCCTGGCATACAAGTGGGTAGCGACAACTACGGACAGATCCACTTATACAGGAGACCGCGAAGTCACCCACGAAAACAAAAATTTAAAGCTTACTGCTTCTCTTGCAAAAAAATACGTTTTATAGGCCAACAAAGAAGCTGCCTTTCAGTTCCTCATATGCAAAGCTCTGTCGTTAGAGCAAGTAGAGCAAATGTAAACCGACCAGAATTTACCTCTCATGCGCGAGGCGTAGATATTTATAGTTTACTATCTGGGTTGCCTTAAAGCAATGAAGCATTCGACGTTGAGGCATTTCTGTTTTTAGCGAATAATTTATGTTTGTTGCTAATCTAGATAGAGAAACAAGTTTGAGATTATTGCAAAAGTCGACGTTTAACGGCGATTTATACCGATTATAGTGCATCATCTAATTAGTATATACAAACATATATGCATGAAAGCAAAAGTAAATATTATTTGCGTACACACTTGTGGTTAAGTGCGTATTCCATTAGTTGAATAACAGCGCAAACAAACAACAATGTTTAAGTTTTTTTCATACGCCATAGTGTCACCGATTTCTATTTCATATCTAGGAGACAAACAAGGCGCTTAATTTCTACATCCCCGACTAATTATACTGTGCGTCAGGTTCGTGTGCAGCGGAAATTTGAAAGTAAAACGCAATGTAACAAGTTTGATAGTTAACAAACACAGGTGTGCTCCTTGTGCCGTGAGTTCTTATACGGGCTTACGCAATTTATCCAGTTAAGCCATTTGCGGTTCATCCCATGTTGTGTAAATCAATTTGACCATGGGTCTCATGCCCTTTAAGTGCACGATTTACTAGGTTTGTGCGTAAATAAAATACAGAAACTTTAACCGTAACTTTGTAATCTACTTTTATTATAAATTGCCTTGGAGCTATGCGTTTCATTACGGAAAAGGAGAAATGTCGCACTATTTCAAACAGCGATCATTGCCTTTCTGTCCTACACCGCAGATGCTTACATTATCCGCGATTAAGACACTCCCAGAGTTGGAAGCGTCATTGAGACCTTGTTTGTTCATTTCACTCTATTTTTGCTTATTTGTGGCTTATTCCCTGGTGTTTTCTTTACTGTTGTTTAATAATTGCCGTTCTTTGTATGTACGTAGCATATTTGATTCACATATCCGGCGTATCAACGTGTGTCTCCTTGACGACCTCGGATTAAGTAGTAATCGGGCGCTTACTGACAGCACATTGCCGAATCGCCCTCTCGATATTGTAGACTTGAGTCTCATCTCCATGTAACATTGGCATTTTACGGTTTATCCGGCGATAGCCCCGGACCTAAGCACCATGGTGTAACGAGTTTTTAACGTGCAATTCTCCCGCATTTTTTATCCGAAATGTAATGGAAAATAGTGGTTGAATAAATAAAGGTAGCAAAATTTTTCCACCTTCAGATTTCTTTTGATCCAGGACAATTTTAATGTACTAAATGAATGATTGGAACAGCCTACCGGAAGAAATTGCAGATGCGCCATCCAAGGAGTTTTAAGTGGCTGCTAGACAAACATTCGATGTGAATTCTGGAATCTTGCGGCTGTCACTGCAATTGAGACGTACCGTCGAGGAACGTCGTAATGCAAAGACACGCATCAAACCCAGTATGATGAGGAATCGATGGGGCTGACAAGGGATTTCGCTCTCGCTCTCTACAACAATGAACTCAATAAACTTGTACTGCGCCGATCGTTTTGTTGACATTTTGCGTAGTTTTGGCTTGTTTCAAGTACTAACACTAATTTGCACTTGATTTCACTTTGCTGGTTGGGTTAAAATTCTACTGTCTGTATTGCACTACTCACGTCTGTCTCGCTATGCACCGATGCGGACATGCCCTTCACAACGAGACGACGGCTTGCGTACCTCTTTGACCCATTGAGCTACACTGGGTGGTGCCTCCGACCCCATTTGGGGACTACTCCTACCAGCTTGCTCAGTGGTCAGACAAACTCAGTCTCCTGGTCCTCCAGGTTGGCAATTTGAAAATGGATGGCGTCCTTTTCGGTAGAACTAAATGTTGCCACCTCCACGCTACCTTGGGGACAGGCTTTTGAGCCAAAGGCTTTGGTTGAGGACCCTAATCGCCCTGTCTAGGTCTGGACGCCCTGTCATTATTTCAACCCACACCCATGACTTTTTCTTCAAACATAAACATCCTGCCTCAGCCGTTTCGCAGATTGTCAAGGGTCGGCTTATCTGCTGCATACAACAGGGCGGATAATCGTAAACATGCTGTTGCTGGCGCCTCCCTTCTTTCTTTTCCACCTGTCTCTCTTACTCCCATCCCGACCCCCATTACTAACCTTCCTATCATTCCCAGCTTAATTGACAGCAACTATCTGCAACCACCTCGCGACACCCACCGGACGCCTATCAGCAACAGTCCCTTATAAGGTCACGCTGTCCCGTTTCCATGGCGACGTTCAACCTTCGCACTCGCAGACAAATAGGTCAACAGGCTGCACTCGCACGCATCTTGGACACACTGGATATTGATGTGTGGTGTGCATCCGAAACTATGATCATTGCCACTAACGGGATAGTTGAATTAACTTCCCCTGGCTTATCATCTCATTATTGGTTGCATGTATCCGTAGACGCCGATGCAACACTCACGGGTCAAGCTAATGTAGGTATCATTCTAAGGTTAAGTCTTAGCCATCGTTGGTTGTTTGGATTCCGGTGCACAGCCGTTTATGTGCAGTCCGTTTGACGACATCAGCTAAGGGTGACTCACGAACTAGTACAAAACGCTGTTTGTTATTTCCGTTTATGCTCCCACTGACTGCTGTCAAGGACATATTCTATGACGCACTGTTACGCAGTGTTATTAGTTCAGATATTATGGCACTTGCAGGGGATATGGACGCACACATAGGACCTCAGCTCTTTAGAAGCTCACCTGGATGGTTATTATGGGCTTAACTCCGAACGGACTGACAGCGGGGAACGTCTGCTGCAACTGTGCGGAGCACCATTTGTTCTTAAGTTGCACTGCTTTTAGACAGTGGGCGCCGAAGTGCCACTTGGCGTCCTCCTGTAGCTAGCCAGCGATGGACGCAAATTGACCACAGCCGTAACTTACAGGTGGCATGGTTCCATTCTGTATTACTGCTCGTACTGCAATACCTGCGTCGACTCTTATCATACATTGGTGCGCTGTCGTTTCTCCATGAATTTTACCGGGAGGCGCACCTAGCGTCTTCTCTGATTGGCAACCGATTAATTGTCTCAGCCCTCGGTCAGGCAAGCCTATCAAGACGCACTGCATACCGAACTTTCGCTGTTGTTTTAATGGCACTGAGCTTCAGTGGAATAGGATATCGACCGCCATGCACGACGGGGGAGCATCTGCTTGTGCCACTATCAATCGTCACCGCACCAGACACTGGATATCCGTGGGGTCGGTGAACCTGTTGGAATCTAGAAGAAACCTCCCGGCTGGCTTTGAGCACACTGACTAGATTGGCTATTAGGCGCTAACTATAGCGGAGCCTACGTGCTGACAATGAAGCCTGGTGGACCAGTCGAGCTCAAGAAATCAGGGAGGCAGGAGCAGTAGGCATTTATCGCGAGCTCTTCCAGCTGATCCGCACCACTGGTCCCAGGAAACCAGGCGTCAGTGAGACATTCAGAGATAGTGCGGGTGCACTAATACACAATAAGGAGCGCCGTATGGCACATTGGGCGGAACACTTTCTAGATCAGTTCGGCTGGCTGCCTGTTCTCCAACCTCTTCCTACTCAGGTGATGCAGGACGAGCCATGGACGTTTAGTTTAGATCCTCCGTCGAAGGCTGAGGTCCAAAACGCGATCACAGCCCTCAATCGTTTACGTACCACTGGCCCGGATTCCCTCCCACCTGAGGTGAGGTCCTCTGATTTTCCTATTCGGACGTATCTGGAAGGAAGTGTCTCAGCTCATTGGGGCGAATCGATTATGATGGCAATATACAAGCAGGGCAGTCGCACCGACTGTTCTAACCACAGGGGTATTAGCCTAACGCCAGTTGTGACAAAATTACTGGCAACAAAATCACTGTGCAACGGAAATCTCAGATTAGGGAAGAGCAGGCTGGTTTCTGCCCAGAACGTGTCTGTATAGGCTTTGTGGCAGGTGCTAGCGCAGCGTCATCATCATCATCATTACACGTTGGCTGGAGGTGGAAAACACCTCAGCTATTGTGCCGCAATACAAAAGATAAGAAAAGGAAAACAAACGGTGGCACGCCCGCTGAGTCCCCAGTAACGGATAGACATCATTCCGGAGAGCTAACACCTGCTGCCGTAAAAGAGTCATATTATACCTATGAAGTGAGATCATGATTGGAGGGGGATGCTAAGCAGTAGGGGGATAGACAAAGGAACTCACAACACAAACGCCATTGGGGTCGGCTACAATCCATATCAGCGAGTGTGTCCAACCAAACGTGTTCACCATTCTTAGGACCCCAGCCAGGCAATCGGGATGCGCCAACCGACGCCAACTTCGAAGTGAGGGTTTTCATTTCTCTCGACCAAGTCATCACTTGGCCTCCCCTCCTCCTCTTCCAACCGCACCCACAACGCGCAAACAGTGCACGTCGCGGGAGTCGGTGTGCTGGCATGCGCAACACGTGGCCCAACCATCGGAGCCTGGTGCGTGATATAATGGTGCTGAGCGGTTCACTCGCTCTTCCTGCACCAAATACGCGACGCCGAACACGCTCATTGCTCACGCGGTGCTCCCACCAGATATGAGCTAAGCTGCGAAGGCAGCGGTGATCGAATATGACGAGCCTCTTTATGTCTGTCGACCTGATGGGCCAGGTTTCACAGTCATATAAGAGAGTTGAACGGACGTCTGCGTTGTAAACTCTGCCCTTCAGGGCGAGAGTAATGTCGCGTCTGCGCCACAGGTGGTGGAGATTGGCAAAAGCACCTCCAGCTTTTGCTATACGGTTCGTAACCTCATCTTCAATCCCACGGGTGCTAATATAGCTGTCCAGGTACTTGAATTCCTGAACGACTTCTAGCAGATCACCACCAACCGTTAGCGCAGGGTTGGGTCCCTGCCAATCTTGGAGAAGTACTTTGCATTTCGATGGAGCAAAGCATATCCCAAAACGATTGACAGCCAGTGCTAATCGGTCCAGTGCTATTTGGGATGTTTGGGAGCTGTCACAGATTAGGGCAATATCATCTGCATACTCCAAGTCAAGAAGTCGCTTACCAGGAAGTAGCTCCACACCTTCAAGGTCGTGTCCAGCGAACGCTGTTTCCATGACTTCATCAATAGCGAAGTTGAAGAGGAGAGGCGACAGCGGGCATCCTTGTCTCACAGCGCTGGTGATACTGAAGGGTGGCGACAGTTTGCCATAGACCCTCACCCTGCCCGAACTATGCGCGTACAGCGCTTTGAAAATATTTACATATTTATCAGGCACACCTTTTCTCAACAGACAGTCCCAAAGGGCACATCGATCGACTGAGTCGAAGGCACCTTTTATGTCAAGAAACACGACAACGGTGGGTCGCCAATAAACATGGCGGTGCTCCAACATCTGACGCAATGTGAAGATGTGATCGATGCAGCTCCGACCTCGACGAAATCCGGCTTGCTCTTCACGAATCTGGCTTTCACGAGTGACAGTCAGTCTGTGGAGAATGATAGAGGCAAGCAATTTAGAGGCAATCGAAATCAGACTGATCCCTCTATGATTGCCGCATTCCAAACGAGAGCCTCCCTTGAAAACTGGGACAATGTCGGAGCGGTTCCAGTCTGTCGGGACTGTCTCCTGCTCCCAAAGTTTTACTAGCAACTCATGTATATCATCTATTAGAGCAGGTCCCCCGAATTTGAAGAGGGCTGGGGGAATTCTATCTGCCCCTGCGGCCTTACGCAATTTCAACAGCCTGATCTCACGTTCGACTTCTGCGCGTGATGGCGGATCCAAGGAGACAGCCCAGGGAGAAGGGCGCTCAATGCCCGAAGAAGAAAGCGATAACTCAGGTTGATTAAATTGCCTTGCAAAGTGTTCGGCCCAACGCTCCAAGCATTTTGACAGGCTGTGGATCGGCTGCCCACTCTCGTCGCGTATGGTCTCGCTAACACCAGGTCTTCTGATGCCCGTCAGACGGAATAACTTACGATGATTACCAACGGCAGCGGCTGTTTCCATTTCCGATGCACGATGAGACCACCAGGTTTCGCGATCCTTCTTCAAGCTAGCACGTAGTTTTGCCCTGAGATTTTTGCGAGTCTCATTGTATTCGTTTCCAGCCGGAATACGTCGGCGAGCATCCATAATTTCCAGAGACTGCGTAGAGACCCAATGTCCGGTTTTGCAATTTGCTCTGCCACATGAAAACATGCCTGCTAATAGCAACGCTTGACGAGTATGCGACCAGTGATCTTCAAAGGTGTTTAGTGGGCGCTTGCTCAGCCCAGATGTCAGCGCACTTTGGTACACATTCAGAACATCTGGCTTCGCCGGCTGGCTGTTGTCAATCCGTTCACCTCGACGTTGCGGACGTCCACCGAAACGCACCAGGAGGTCGGCACAGACAAGTGCGTGGTCAGAGTCCACGCTCGTGCTCCAAATCGAGCAACAGTTTTGGCCACAGCCTCTCCAGCGGTAACTGATCGCGATATGATCGATTTGCGTCCATGGCTGGCCCGAGGCTGGTGGCCGCCAAGTCACGCTGCTGCGGGTGCTGTGTCGAAAGTTAGTGCTCGCGAGAAAGTGGCGAGCATCTTCACACAGCTGTAGCAATCGCTCACCATTATCATTACGGGAGCCTACACCATGTTGGCCGCCCAGATGAAGCTCATCAGAGGACAATTTTCCGACTTGGGCGTTTAGATCGCCAGCCAGCACCACAGTATCCGTGCTTCTTCTGTAACGAAGGAGCTCGTGCAGTTGCTGATAGAAATCATCCTCTACCAAATCGGTGCTACAGTTTGTAGGGGCGTAAGCCGCAATGACAAACAGGCACCGTTTGTCCCCGCGCGTCTTCGTAGCACGGAACGAACCAGCTAATCTAACGGCGCACATCCTACTGTTTACTGGGATCCAATCAATCAGGGCAGCTTCAGCCCGGGGACTCAAAACAATGCCGACGCCAGCTTGACCGGCATTTGAAGCTGCATCATCGCCAGACAGGCGCATTGAGAATGTGCCGCCAGTGTCGCACGTGGGGGATCGCAAGGTAAGCACGGAGCTCGAATCTTGCAGGCGGGTTTCTGATAAACAGCAAATATCGATCGACAGGGTCTCTAGTGTGCGGGCAAGTGCTGTCTGTTGGCCAATCTGCAGCAAAGTGCGCACGCTGAGGCATGCCAATCTTAGCGAGACACGAGGACTCCAAAGGGAAACGGATGAACTGACGTTGTCCGCTTGGTTGAACATGGACTTGTCGACTGGATGGGAGCGAGGCCCTGCGATTGTGTGATTTGAAATTAGAAGACAAGCGACTATTGAAGTAAGCTGGGGGAGGGCCAAGAATTGGGGGATTGAAAATGGGGGGATATAAGTAAAGTTGGAGGGGGACGGTAAGGATGAAGAAGCGCAAGAAGGGGTATAAGAAGACGGGAAGGCCTGAGCAGTAGCATCCATACCCCTATCTACCCTGCTCGATGCAGCAGATGGGGCGCCGTTTATTATCCTCTGCGACGGCCAGAGCATCAAGCAATTATTATA